CCACAGTGCCCAGCTATTTTTTGTTGCCATTGGCTGGAGCTGGGTTTGAACCTGCCACCCACGGTTATGGGGCCGGCACCCTACCCACTGAGCCACAAGTGCTGCCCCCCTGTCTCTACTAAAAATAAAAATTAGCTAGGCCTGGTGCTGGGTGCCTTTCATTTGTCCCATCTTTTGGAGAGGCACAGAGCCATAACATAAACTTTTTTTATATATGCTTTCCCCTTAACTATCATTCATGCATTTTTCCCAAAGGTGAAAGAAGAATTCGTGTTCATACTTTGTGTTTGCCAGTGGTTTCAACTCTGAATGAAATCTTTCTTGGAGCTGATGTTCAAGCAATTTCAGGATTATTAGCCAATATGGGTAAGAGTTGTTACCACCTGTTGTAAATATTTTATAAATAAATAATTAGCTTTATTGTTTCAATAGTTTAGATCCCCAGATACCTGGTAAGTAATTATCTGAATGAAAAGATCTGCTGCAGATATTCTTATCTTTTTTATTGTTTGTTTAAAGAGATTTATTGAGGCTCAATGCCTTTAGCACAGTGGTTATGGCACCGGCCACAAACACTTAGGCTGGCAGGTTCGAACCCTGCTCAGACCAGCTAAAGAACAGTGACAAATGCAGCAAAAAATAGCCGGGTGTTGTGGCCAGCGCCTGTAGTCCCATCTACTTGGGAGGCTGAGGCAAGAGAATTGCTTAAGCCCAAGAGTTTGAGTTTGCTGTGAGCTGTGACGCCATGGCAGTCAACTGAGGGCAACATAGTGAGACTTTGTCTCAAAATAAATAAATAAATAAAATTAAATACTTTATTGAGATATAATTATATACCTTACCACTTTACTTGTTTTAATTGTATAATTCTCTTTTTAGTGAATTTATAGAGTTGTACAGTCATCACTGTGATCTAATTTTACAACATTTTTATTATCACCAGAACAACCTCAAGCCCATTGGCAGTTAATGCCCACTCCTTCCTCCCTCCCTCAGTGGCCTTGAGCAACCAGTAAATTACTTTCTGTCTGTATTTGTCTACATGGGACTTACTTAGCCATATATTATGTAATTTTTAATGTTAGTGGTATTTAGTGGTATTTTTTGTTCTTTTTGAGTTAGCCTCAAGCTGTTGCCCTAGGGAGAATGCCATGGTGTCACAGCTCAAAGCAACCTCAAACTGCTGGGCTTCGGCGATTCTTTTGCCTCAGCCCCCCCAAATAGCTGGGACCACAGGTGCCCACCACAACACCTGGCTATTTTTTGGTTGTAGTTGTCATTGTTGTTTGGCAGGCCCGTGCTGAATTGAAACCCGCCAGCTCTGGTGTATGTGGCTGGCTCCTTAGCTGCTTGAGCTACAGGAGCCAAGCCTATTTAGTAGTTTCTTATGAGGTCTGTGTCTTACGTTATTAAGAGAAGCAATATACCATAAAGATTATTAGACTTAGAGGGATGGAATTTGGGACACAGATGTTTATAGCCTTGGCCAAATCATTCAAGATAGTGTAGTGGAAAATTTAATGATGTCTTTATCTGTTTATTTCCATCTCAGATATAGTTACATTCTTTTTTTTTTT